ATCAACTAATAATCTCCTTGTTGATAATTGCTTTTGTTCCCACCACTGGTCTGCTTGGTATTGCATTGGTATACTATCATTGAAATAATAAGCAGCCAGGTTATTGTGGAAATCACGTTGTTTTGTCAGATTACACACAAGAATGGGAACTATTCAGTGCAAAGTTATCTGGGATTCCACAAAGTTTGCACAAATTTTCTGGCAAATTCTGAATATGGAATGGATTTACACGTTATCAATTGTTGTGTTGTGTATGATTTCAGGTCATGATTCTGAAAAGACAAAGATAAATGCTCCAGTCACTTCAGGGTCATCTGGATGTTCACATACTATGAACAACAATAAATCAATTCCTGAAAGTAAAACAGTCCTAAAACAAAATAACAGAAGAACAGAATTACCAACTCCAACGATGGAACAGGCACAAAAATCTCGCATGTTATCTTTACAACCAAATCATACCTTGACAGCAAAGAATCCTTATGTTTTGAATAAAAAAGAGATCCCTCCTTTGTCTAGTGTTAAAACTGTTGCACAGAAATCAGCCTTGAAATGGGAAAAACCCAGTGCTGCAAGTGCTTCAGGTTTGTCATCCGATGAAAGTAAAAGCCATATTGACTCAGAACTTTACAGGAAGAAATCACAATTACTGCAGGTAGGAACGTCATTGGGGAAGCCTTCCACTAAAGTGAAATCATCAACAATGGTTCCTCTTGAAGCACCATCCACATATGGAGCTCATGGATCATTCAAATGGTCAAAATCAAAACCATCTGCATCTAGTAATAAAGAGAAAAAAGGGAAAAAATCAAAGCCTTCAAGATCCAAGCTTAAATGGACAAAACTAGGAGCTCAAGTTGAGGCTAAAAAAGTACTGAATCCCTATGTACTCAAAAAAGAGAGTCCAGGAGGTGGAAATACTTGTCAGAGGCAGAAATCAACATCAAACAAAGCTAAAAAACTGGAAAAGCAACCACATTGTTCTTCAAAATATCAGGTACATGAAACAGTAGTTTTTTTTTTTTATTTAACAAAAAACAGGGTTAAGTGTTGTTTTTTTTCCTTAAAGAAAGGAACCACTCACAAACAAAAATGTTATGTGGCCTATATTGTCTATAAAGGACACAATAATTGGCAAAAAAATTATGGAAAGCAACAGCAACAATTGGTATACTGAACTACACTAAGCATACAATGTAGCCCTACACTGTAGATTTGAGGAGTGGATGAATTATTTGCAAATTATATTTGTTCTTTTTATGCCTGTTGCATTCCTTTATGTGAGATGAGCAATGAATTTTGGAGACAACTGTATCTCAGGATTTCTTAGGCCTGAAAAACCCTTCAGAATTTGAATTGACAGACTTACAATTTTGCAGACTGGTTTTACAATGTTCAATAGAGTGTACCCCTGTGACTTTCAAACTCTTTTCGCTCAACCCTTTACACCCTAATATCAGTATGCATATTCTCCATACTGTTCTCTATACATTTCCTTAAGTGCTGACAAGGAGAATATGCATAACAAGCAAGAAGGTCTTTAATTGGTGATCATTCCCCTATTCTCATGACCATAAGGGGTTAATAGCAAACAATTTTACACTTGCTTAAACCTTGAATAATTTCAGGGCTAGGTTGTTCAAAGCTGGGTTAAGATAACCCAGGGTAAGTGTGAAATTTTATTTCAGATCTGAAAGCTTTAAAAGAAAATTCAGTTTAAATCTTTTTGATCATCAATTTGATGATCAGATGTTCTGAAAAGAGTGGGGAAATTTTTTCTCAGAAAGGCTTTTGAAGAGATAAATAAGAAAAATGGATTGAAATTAAGCCCAGGTTAGTGCTAATCGACCTTCAAACAACTGGCCCAGGAGCATAAAAACTTACAGAAGAGCAGCTTTTTTTAAGAGGTTGTGTTTAGCTCTTACTGAATTAATACTTGCAGTGTTGTCATTTTTCCTAACACATTTGATAAATGTATTTTGCAGACAGATTCTGTTGTAAGTAAAAAGGTTTCGTCACAAAGATCTTCTGCTGGGTTCATTGACAGGTATGGTTATGATCTTGAGAAGAATTGTTTAT